AGAGAGAGAGAGAGAGAGAGAGAGAGAGAGAGAGAGAGAGAGAGAGAAAGTGTCCAGGGCTCCCAGCTCCCTCCTAGGATCCTGGGCCAGCTCTCCCACTGCTGTCAGGGGAATGCAGTAGAGTCTATAAATAGTGACAGCTTAAACCTGAACCAAGACTTTGGGGACACCCTGTAAAATGGAAAGGGTCCTGGACTCTGCCACTTACTAGTTTTATGACCTTGGGTAAGTCACTTCTCCTTCTCTGGGCCTCAGTTTCCTCATCTGAAAAATGAGGGCATTGAAGTAGGTGATCTCTAAGATCTCTTTCAACTCTCAAGCCCTGTGACCCCTCCCCTCCTGGAGACGCCTTCCCATTGACCATAGGAGGTCCTAGGGCCTCTGGGGGATAGTGCTAATGGAGTAAGTGACTGAAATTGGAACTGAGAAGCAAGGCGAGAGAAATAGCTCTGTCAGCTGCCTCCCACACGTCCCTTTCCAATTTTAGCTTCCTAAGGGCCCCAGGCAGCCACGGCATTCCTGCAAGGGTCTTGGGAAGTGTATGCATGGGTAAGTGTAGGGGCCACCATTGATAATGCCCCCTCCCCCACTGCTCTGGCCCTCATCCAGATTGATTGTAGGGACTGAAGGGACACCGGAGGAAGGGGTATGTGGATGTTCCATCTTGGGCACCTGGGCACCAGATCCAAGACACTTTGCTGACCTTCCCCCACCCCTTGCCCCAGCTGCCCCTGTCCTTACAGCCTCCCATCCTGCTTCTGCCCCAGACTTGGTTGCATTACAGATAGGAAGCATATTGTGGAATGGGGGAGGGGGATAAGTACTGGGGTTCCTAGTTTGTTTCTCCTGAGTTCCCCTCCAAGCCTGCAGGTCCCTGACACCCAAAGAGCTAGAAGGGCTTCTAGTCTGGCAAGGGCATGCATCGGCTTGGCACTGACCTTGAGAAAGCTGCTGGTGCCCCCTTGGCACGGTCCCTAGAGAGCGTCCCAGGGGAGCCACAAGTGGGGTGAGGGGAAGGGGAGGGGAGCAAACAGTGCTGAGCCCAGGAGGGGGGGGGGGGAAGTTGGCACCTGGGTGTCCGTCTGTTCCTCTGTCCCTCTGTCCAGCTGTGGGTCCAGCAGGGCTGGGCTGAGCCCCTGGGAGGGGGGGTGCGCTGACACTAGGGGTGACTGTGTCTGTCTGTCCAGCAGCGGGTCCAGTAGGGCTCTGGGGGCCCTAGGCAAGGGGTGTGTCTGACCCCTGGGTCTCCCCCTCCCTCCCAGCCCACAGAGGAAGCTGAGCTGAGCTGTGAGTGGAGCCCAGGCTGCAGAGAACTGGTGTTCACCCAGCTCAGCTCTGCAGAGAGGGGGTTGGTTAGGAAGCTGCCAGTCACAGCCAGGCTGCAGGAGAGGCCAGGGCAGAGCCTCAGGGATTTTTCAGGGGGCGGGGGACTTGGGTATGGGGTGGGAAGAAGACTGCAGGTTCTGAGAGAGAAGGCTTTAGTGGAATTATAGTGTAGAATTTAGAACTGGAAGGCACCAAGACCATGTAACCCAAACCCCTTATTCCACAAAGAACCAAAAAGAGAGTGGTGACTTACCCAAGGTCACACAGATAAGTAGAATGTAACTGAAGAAGCAGTCTCGGGTCCTCTGACTCGCAGATGGGGGCTCATTCCACTACACTATGCCATGTTTGAGGTTGAGACCCTTCCCTAGGTCTGCTCTGACTTTGATGAGTCAGGGCAGATTCAACATGACCTTCCCCTCAATCTATCCATGCCACTGGTCAGTGCCTAGCCCCTCACCTTTCCTCCCTCCTCACCCCCAATATCTGCTCTGATAAAGGGGCTGGCTGTTCCCAGGCCCTCGGCCTGAAATGACCTCTCCTTTCTGCACTGCAGCCTCACTTCCTCTAGGAAGCCTTCCAGGACCAAGCCCACTATTCAATTGTAACATGTTAATTCTAAAAGGGACCTTTAAAAAATAAATAAATAAAAGGGACCTTAATGACCATCCAATATGACCCTTTAATTTTGTTATTTTAGAGGAGACAAATGGGAAATGACTTGTCTAAGGTCACAGAACAGGGCAGTTTGTTCTTGGACTGTGATCTATGGTCTCCCTGGTTCCCCATGTTCTATTGCCTCCCACCTCAATGTTCGTTGTCTATGGCCTTGTTCTACTTCTCCAATAGCCTAAATGTTCCCTAAAAGTTTCCCCATAAGACTAAGTTCTCCTTAGGGGGTAGGGAAAGACATTGCTCTTCTCAGCCTCTGTTCTATATCAAATTAGTTAGCCGAGTGTTGGGAGCCCCAATTTGGGCCTCAATGGCTCAAAGAGATCAAATAATATCATAGAAAAAACTCTGGGGGCAGCTAGGTGGCCCAGTGGATAGAGCTCTGACCTTGGAGTCAGGAGGACCTGAGTTCAGATCCGGTCTCAGAAACATAACACATAAACATAAAAAAAAAAGAAAAAAGAAAAAAAAAAAGAAAAAGCTCTGGATTTGGTATCAAAGAACCTGGGTTTGAACCTGGCTCTGTTACCTGGAGCAAGTCGTATCCTTTCTCTGGGCCTCAGTTTCAATATTTGTAAAATGGGGACAAGAGTATTTGGCATTCTCTACTCCATTCATGATAGGTATGGGGGTGAAGGTCACCCCTATACCCTAGGTCTAGGGAGGTAGGGAGAGGGAGTATATTGGTACAGAAGCATGGCACCAAGGGTCTGTTGGGAGTACTAGGAATGTTACTCTGGAGAAGACCTGGGAAGGAGTAGGAGAGAGAGATAACTGCTAGATTTGAGTATCTGAAGGGATGAGGTTTATTTTGTATGACTTCAGACAACAACAGGAAAAGCAGCAGGTTCAGGGCATCCATGGTCCTGTTAGTTACCACTGTGTGAATGGAGCAAAGCCCTTCCCTGCAAAATTAGGAAGTGGCCCTAGACCTCTAGGGTTAGCTCTGAGATCCTCTGGTCTTGTGATCCTACGAACCAGGACCAATGGATAGAAATTACAGAGAGGCAGGCTTCCTTGACTATGAGAAAGAACTTCTTAACCATGAAAGCTGACCCAGAGGTCTTCAAACAGAGACTGAATGAGCATGTGTTGGGCATGTTTTAGAAGAGATTCTGCCTCAGTTACATCCTGAGGGCTCTTCCAGATCTGAAGTTCCATGATTCTATGTGATGGCTAACAACTAGGTGGAAAGAGAGGAGACAGAAAAGCTGCAAATACAGATACAAGATCCCAGGAGGCAGGATCATTTAACACAGGGACATACAACTTCCCAACAACTCAAAAGCCCTTGAAGGTATTGCCCAATGCTATAACAGATGCTCATAGGTATGACACTGAGTCACTCAGAAAAGCCTAAATATAAGGAGGTCTCTGGAGACATAGTAGATCTATAGATCCTTCCTTTCTTCCTTCTTTTTTTCCTTCTTTCCTTTTCTTCTCTCTTCTTCTCCTCCACCTCTTCCTTTTTTCTCTTCCTTCTTCTCCTGTTTCTTCTTCTCCTCATTCATCATCTTCTCCTCCTTCTTTCTCCTCTTTCTTCTCCTCCTGTTTCTTCTTCTTCTCCTTCACCACCACCACCACCATCATCATCATCATCTTCTTCTTCTTCTTCTCCTCCTCCTCCTCCTCCTCCTCCTCCTTCTTTCTCTCTCTCTTTCCCCCTAGGTAAAGGTGATATAGTCATAGAGAGCTGGACCTGGAATTAGGAGGGCTTGGCTTTAAATCCTGCCTGAGATATTGAACAAATCACTTGGTCTCTCTGTGATTCAATTTCCTCATCTGCAAAGTGAGGAGGGGGTAGGACTCAACAACCTCTAAGATCCCTTAGAACCTCAAACTTATGGGTGCCCAAATCTTAGATTTAGAGCTAGAAGGGGCCTTAGAGGTTTTTGAATCTGATTCTTTCACTTTGCAGATGTAGTAGAGATAGTGAGAAAAATGAGAGTGAGAGAGAGAGAGAGAGAGAGAGAGAGAGAGAGAGAGAGAGAGATTTAGGATAGAGATATCGATCAACAAACGTGTATTGAGCACTATGTGCCAGCCATCAAAGAAGACAAAGACAAAAAACAATCCCTGCCCCCAAGGAGCCTACATTCTGTTGGGATAAACAACCTGAGAGAGAGGGGAGATGAGTAGTAGAATAGGGGAGAAAGGACCTTTCATGAAATTTCTTTCAGCTCTCCTCCAATAATGCCTAGCACAATGCCTTGCAAACAGTAGATTCCCAGTAGCATTGATTGATGGTGACTGTAACAGAATCCTGGTGGAGAGGAGCCTGGAAGCTCCAACTCTGAGACCTCCGTCCCATTCTTCTGGGTGCCCAGCTGGCAGCCACATGACCTCACCTGAGTGCTGGTACCCATTATGGGGGTGCAGAGTTATTCTCTCATTCACCAATATTTCAGTTCTTCATGAATTCCCCTCCTGTTCTTGTCCCTGACTCCTTCCACAGCTCCTTACAGAGATCCTGCAATTCTGTTAATTAAGATTTGGCAGAACTCTGTGAACTCCATAGAGGCCAGGCCCTATTACCTACTTCCTGCATCATTGAGCTCCAATTTGTAAACCTGGGAACATAAATTGAACATTTATTCTACATGATGTCAGTGCCTTGATGTGCCCTGACATCAGCCATATCAGCTGCTGTAAATGTCTCCAGCTTTTAGACTTTTTATGCTATATCTACCTGGATGTAATAGAGTGGGTGAATTGGCCTTAGAAAAGTTCATCTCTGGGAATATTTTATGGAAATTACACAGTCATTTATTAAGTGCTTACTGGCCTTAGAAAAGTTCATCTCCTGGAATATTTTCTGGAAATTATACATTATCAATTTAACAAGCATTTAGTAAGTACTTACTGGGTATATGGCACTGTGCTCGGGGCTGGGAGAGACATGAAATTTAGATTTAAAATATAGCCCCTGCCTTTATGGAACTCACAGTCTTGTATAGATGTAAGACACAAAGAGATAACTTTAATATCCAAAATAACATGAGAAGTACATTAAAGAGATGTGAAGAGGTAAAGGAGGTTCCAAGGGGAAGGTCATTGCCAACAAGAGGGGACAAGGAGGGTTTCCTGGAGGTGGCATTTGGGTTGGATAGGAATTCACCAAGGGAAGGAGAGGGAAGACAGCTGGCCTAAAAAATCATGGCATGGGATGGAGAGATAAAGTCCTTACTATGTACCCAAGACTAAAAGGAGTACAGATGCCAGTAATTGTTCATTACTCCCTGAGGGATGAAAGAAAGGCGAGGAAAATCTTCTAAAATTGATTATCAATGGGGTAGGTTCAGCAAGGAGGAAATCAGCCCCTGCGGTTTTTTTTTTTTTTGGTGGTTTTTTTTTTTTTGTGATGGAAGGTGTTTACATCTATTGAGGATATAGGGATTAATAGCCTGGTTCTAAGTGGAGTGAATGCGTTATGTTAAGCCGTTTATGGGTATCCAAGTATGGATTCCCAGGGTGTTATTTTCCTCTGAGATGAACCTTGATTCAGAAAGTGTGGGGAGAAGAAGGTACTAGAGTCTTCCCACTGGAGCAATTCCAATATTCAGGAAACAATTAGTATCTCTAAAAGATGCTATATCTGAATGTCATAGGCCTAAGCCATCACTAGTCTGGGGGAAAGTGCATGGGGATTGAAGGCTGCAAACAGATCTGGAGTTTGCAAACTGATTGAGTTTAGGGTAAGTCTTTAACAGGGAAGTGAGAGATATAGCTCACATTTAGGACACAGGAGTCACATATAATTTGACTGAAGGGTGGAGGGCATAGAGAGGAGCCATATGATACAAAGTGGAGAAAGTTGAGTAGCACTAGAGTGGGAGAGTCTTGAATGCAAAGCAAAGAAGCTGGAGTTTTATGTTGTCAGCAACAGGCAACCACCAAAGATTTTTGAGGAAAATGACTGTGTGTGAGAAAAAATTATTTTGTGTGTGTTTTTTTCCCTTTTGTTCTGTTTTTTCTTTTACAACATGACTAATGTGGAAATATGTTTTATACGATTTCACATGTATAACCTACGTCAGATTTCTTGCTGTCCCGGGGAGGAAAATTTGGAGCTCAAAATCTTATAAAAAATAACTGTTGATTGCCTAGCCAAAAACAAAAACTAAAAAAAAAAAAAAAT